TAACATATATATATAGGACTTTGTCCTATTCACTTAAAGAAAATAAAAACACTTTAAAATGATTTTCTTCTTATAAGTGTAAAAATTAAAATCAAAGACAAAGAAAAAAAACAATAGAAAAGTTTTTTTTTCACCAGGGTGACCTCTACAATGGGGAGCTCTGTGCGGTGCATCTCAGCAGCTATGAAAGGGGTGTGTGAAATTGAACGTCGAACAACCATGTGACCACACATCGACTGTTCCGCTTCGGATGGACTACGTGGAGGCCTTTACACTGCTTAATTAAATTACATGCAAGATGTGTAGTATTGAAATGACAAAGCTACCAGCATCCACATTGCACTTGCATACATTTGCACTCCTCTGTCAGACCCACTATCCTTCGTTCCATTGTATGTATTAAAAGAGTGATGTCTTTATCACGGGGAGAGAGGGAGCAAATAGAATGAGAACAGATAAAATATGACAATGCTCACATGAAAGGGAGGCCTTTCAAACTCAGGAGAGACATGAAAGACTCTCTCTTGCTACTCCCCTCCTCTCACTGTTGCTTCCTTTTGTTGTCTCGCTCCATCTCCCATGTTCCTGTTTTCCCCCATCCTTCATCTCTGCCTCGTAATTGTACATTCAGACTCAAATTGTGAATGCTAACAAGGCTTTTAGCCACACTGAATTAATGTATCTAGTGCATTTCACTAATGTGCAACCTTTCAAATGTCACCTTTTATGTTGTTTTTCTGAATACATCTTAGCAACCATGCATTAAAATTTGGTTGGTTCAGCTTAAATTGCTTTTGGCTGTTTTGAAAAGTTCACATGGTTACAAGCATCATGTGCCCACTTTTTATAGCTAATATTTGTATCTGCAGCCACATTTTTACTTCAAAGTGCTGAAGGTTAACTTCTAACACATGTAAAAGCTGATTTAAACTTCTGTCTGAATCACAGTTGGATCTACACAACCAGATAAAATACAAAAGATAATTTCAAAAACTTAAAATCTTTTTTAATTGGGTCATTTTGGCACTAATACTTAATCATCCTAACTTTCTCTACACGTCCTTGTAAAATGCTCGCTTCTGTGCATATTCAACAAAGTTTTGATATCAGTTCAGTTCAATAGCAATATTTACAGCCTCAAAGCAGCAATTAATTACTTTTTGTTTCATTGTCTTTGACTTGGCGGAACAATGACTCAGATGATAGAGCTCTTTCCTCTCAAAAAGATGGTTGCTGGATCGAATCCCAGCCAGGGACCTTTTTGGGTAAAGTTTGCATGTTCTCCATTCAAGTGTGTTTTTTTCTCCCACTGACCAAAAATATAAATGTTTAGGCTAATTGATAACTAAATTGTCCCTAGGTGTGAGTGAAAGCCTGAATAGTTGTCTGTCTCATTTGTCTCAGTGTGGCCCTATGACGGACTTGTGACTTGTTTAGGGTGTAGCCCGCTAGCCTGGCCCTTGCCTTTCTACGCAGTTCCGCTCAATAGGAGGGTTTCACGTGACGTCACGATGCAGTGCCACTAGAGCGCAAAGTTCAGATGGAGGTCGGAAGTGAAAAAGTGGAGGATCTGCTATCTGAAAAAATGCCCACATCTTGTGTAGTTTACGAGTGCTCCAATCATTCTAACTGAATTAATAATGAATAATTATACACTGATTAAATTATATATTAAATTAAATAAAATTATGGCTCTTTTTATTAATGTTCGTCATATTTGAAGCATGTTGCAGCAGGAGGATGCAAAATAGGGCTGATTCATAGTGTTGTAGTATTTGAAACCGGTCTTGGTCTTTAGACCGGGCTCAAGGCCACTTTTTGATGGTCTTGGTCTTGTCTCGGACTCGACAGCATTTGTACTCGGTCTTGTCTCGGTCTCGGACATTGAGGACTCAGAATTTTATTCCAAGACCAGTCAAGACCACAACTGTGGAAATATCACTAAATGGCCAGATTATTGTCCAATTTATTAACATTCTTGCATTTATTGGATTTAAAATGTAGCTACTGATTCAAATCCAAACCTGACTTATTGCTATCTACTGTATCTATTTTTGTTACTGGCTGTCACCCATCCCCACTGTCTTCACTCGCATTCACTCCAGGAAAGTGAGCAGTGGTTCTCTGGGAGCGGTAAAGGATGTCTTCAAAATTTTAAGTAAAAAATTGGCTACATTATTCATAAATAATATTGTAAAACAACAACAACCAGGAGAAAGCGTACAGCAACTTGTAAATTCTGCTGAGTTTCACTTTCAGAGACGATGGGTCAACTTTTAACTTTTATCGTCACTAACATTAACAATATGCCTTTGTTTGGGAGCAGAGGAAAGAATTTTGCTACAAAGATTTTGTGAATATTAGCTCTTTATATTAAGTTAGCTACAGTGGGGGGGGGGGGGGGGGGGGG